ATTTATTATTTTCCAAATCCAATCAAGGAGTTTTCAGGTTCCAGCTGAATGATATTGCAGTTTTAATTTGATTATTGTTCTTCTGACAGTCATTTTTCTGTTTGTGTTATTCCGATAATAAAAAAAAAAATTGGAATTAATAGCACTCAAAGCCTTTCCAATCCTTCCTCTCTCTCCCAACCCCACAAGCACAAAGACTCTCACTCAGACCTTCCCTGTCCCCGCAAAAAATACTTTCCAGGGGTGACTTCGGAGCAGTTCATTTCTCCCACTTCAATTTCCTCCTCATTCCTTCCAGCTTCAGCAAATAGCTCAGAATCATCTTAATTCTACTGCCCTCTACTGCTGATAAATCAGGGACAGGGAAAAAACTTCCTACATTGTGTTAATTATTGCCTGAGCAACTTGAATAAAGAATTTTAGCATATTTAAATCTAGAACTTTTTAATTAAATGCATTATATGAAAATTAAAAATTGCAGAAGATTATTCTTTTCTCTGTCTTGGATAATATATTATAATTGAAGTGGTTAATATTGATAGAAACTACAAGATCTATTCCAAAGGCAATTAAAAAGCATATTCAGAAAATATATGTTTCTTTCCCAAAAAAATGACATCTGGAAAATGCACAAACAAAACAGAGCAGCAGCCAAGTTATTATGGAAATGTCAACAACATTTTTGTTTGTATAAGTGAAAATTATAACTGAGTTATGGATTCAATTTGACCTTAAAAAACGTGGTGCCCTCACCACAAAATTGTGAATGTCTCAATAATGATCAGGGATGTAAACAGAGAAACAAAACCCAGATGTCAGTGTTGGTCTTGACTGTCCCACAGGTTTGTGGAGAATTTGGAAGGGGCTGCCAAGGCAGGTTTGGAATCACCATCCCTGGAGGTGTCCAAGGAAGGCCTGGACGTGGCACTTGGTGCTCTGGGCTGGGGGACAAGGTGGGGATCGGTCACAGGTTGGACTTGATGGTCTTGGAGCTCTTTTCCACCCTCAGTGATTCCGGGATCTGTGATTTCCTTGACAAACCAACCTATTTTCATTTCAATTTGATCCAGTCACAAATAAGATTCACTGGATTTTACGTGGGATTACCAGGATAGGGGGTTTTTCCCTCTGAACATTTGGAACCATTTCTTCCCCTTCTCCAGCCCTGCCTGATTTCTTGCCCTTCCCAAGACTCCAGCAGAGCCCAGGCCCAGGACAGATGTTTCAGACAGAGGTGATGAGGTTGTTTCTCCTCCTGAGCTCCACCACAGGCTCTGTGGGGGTTAACCCAGACCTGCCCCAGACCCAGCTCCAACCCCTCCCAGGGCAGCACAGACAAACCCTGGCTGATCCATCCATCTCTCTATCCCAGCCTTCCAGGCCCAAGTTCCCACCCTCAACTCTGCTCTATTTTCTCCATCACAAGCAGCTTTCCAAGGATATCTTTTCCAGTCATGGACCTGCTCTCCTACAATCATTCCACACATGAGGATGCTTTCCCTTCTCCACAGTCTGAACCCTCCCAGCCCTTGGAGCTGCTGTAAAGCTCAGAGCATCAAGCTCAGAGAAGGTCAGGAGAAGATAAAACAATCCCTGCTCCATTCAAATTCCTCAGAAAACAGCTGGAAAACCCATAGGAACCAGATCCCCTCCCTCTCTCTGTACCTGTAACTCAGCAGTTACTCAAGGGTCTCACTGCACCTCTTTGATCACAAACTTCCCTGGGACAGACTTTTGTCTACAATTATATAAAATGTCAATTCTGCACATTTATTTCCTATACAGACAGATCCCACAAAAGCAGTTTACACTGACTGTTTTTTTCCTACATGCTCCTTTGTCCTGAGTTCTCCTGCTTTTTCTACCTCACCTACAGATCCTGCTCCAAGTGAACTAAATGCTGCAATTCCTGTTAATTTTTCAGTCACTCAGCAGGACAAATTGTCAGCTCCCCGGAATATGAACAATCCTATTTGAGATTTTAAAGTACATTAACTTTTCAATTTAAGAACTAAGGCTATTACTTGAAGACCATTTGCCTGGTGTCATTTTAATTAATGCCTAAATTGGAGAAACACCGGTCGGGAGGATGAACAAAATGTCTGAAATGCAGGATCAAGGAATGGCCTTGGAATTGTCCTGTTCTACCTCTTTATATCCCTATCTTTGAACACAGTGGCAACACCTCACCTTGTGCAGGACACACACGAACATCTCCTGGGATGTTCCAAGGAAGAAAAGGATGGAGTTAGGGAGAAAGGAAGGCAGGTAATCAGAGCAGACAAATTAGAAAACTTCTGGTAATTCATAAGGATCAAATGCAAAGTCCAAAAAATTCCCACTACTCCGAGGTTTTGAGTGTTCGTTAATATAAAGTCTAATTATTTTTGCAGTTTGGTATTTTTATTAAACGTGCACTGAAATACGAAACTCCCAGCTAATAGAACACATGTGGAGGTAGACAGAGCTCTTTTTGGAATGATTTCATTGTTCCATGGACAGTGATGCCAGAAAAATAAAATCTAAGTTCACTGCAACTACCAGGACAGACAAAGGGGGGGGGAAGTTAAAATCAAAGGGCAGAATTGTGCAGAGAAGCCAGGATTTAGTACACTCTGTGTCACCTTGGGGATTTTCCCGATAAAATTTCATGGTACATTTATGCCATTTTATGCCTTAGCTCACATGGAGTTTATAAATCTATGCTTTGCAGCCCCAGCTTCTTGTAAACCTTTCACTTGTGGTCGAGTGAAAAGCTCCATCAGCAGCAGGACCAAACCTCACCTGGGCAGAGGGAACACTTACACCTGCTCAGTGCACAGAATACATGGAAAACAGCAGCCTGAGATGAATTTTCAAGGGGAATATTTAGTATCCAAGCTAAGATTTAGTGCCACTGATAAGTATATATTAATCAGCTTAAAACACTCAGTAAGTGCCACGATATTCCTTGTTATCAATATCCCCCAGTGTCCCTTGGCTGGTGCATTAGAGTTCAAAACATGCAAGGAAAAGCCAATTTCCTGAAAAATAATGGACAGGTTGGAAAACTACAGGAGTTTTTCTTTGATCCCAGGTCCTGAACAGCTACTGGACTGTCCTGACTCAAGTTACCCTGCCCCAGATCCCTGACAGGTTTTTGTGCTCTTATCCTGCTCCCAGTGCCAAGGAAAATGGCTTCGTTTCAACTCCCCTTCTTCAACCACAAGCAGAGTTTAGTTTAACTCCTTATCCTTCGCAGTTTTAGGAGCTCAGATAAACAAAGATCAGCTGATGAGCAGAAGCCACAGAGCTCGTGTAGCACAGGGATCATGTGAGTGCTGCTCACCCACTTCAGGGCCCAAACTGCTGATGAAGCTTTCAGTAATTAATGCAGGAGGGAGCTAAAAATCCCCTAAATATTTGCTTGCTCCTATTTTATGGTCCACTGAAAAATAACCATTTTCCAGCAAATCCTTTTGGAGGAGTTTGAGGATTCCTGGGAATTTGCAGAGCCACCAGCTGAAGTGTGACAATGCCTGGCTGGTGATGCTCAAGACCCAAAATGCAGCTGAGTTCAGGAAATAAAAACAAAAAACCAGCACTTCACTATTTGTTTCTTCAAGGAAAGTTTAAAAGTAGAGCTCAGAGCACAGTTAGTTAAAAAACGCACAAAAATTGGATGTTAAAGTGATTTTCTACATACACATGCACAGCCAACAACCACTTAGGCAGAACCAAGATTATCCCAAATATATATACTGTGTGATAGTGCAGATATAGATAACATGATGTTGATTTAAACAAAAAAAGGGCAATTAATCATGGTTTTCTTCCCTATCTGGTGTGTTCTCACACATTCTAACAATACACATATATCCATATATATGCACAGGCACACAAATTTACACATGAATAGATATTTCAAGGAGAAAAATAAAGCTATTAGGTTTTAATTAAAAGTAAATTCAACTTAATCTACATGCCTCACTCAGAGAGACATAAATCCACCCAATATTTGTCTTGTAAGAAGGTGCAATTTGGGCAGCTATATTTCACCAAAAAAGAAAAAAAGAACAATAAGCACTAAACCAAAAGTTCTGACACACAAGAAAAATCACCTTCTCCAGTCTCACTTTTGCAGAAGTACTGCTGATGAAAACCTCAGCAAAGAAGACTTAAAAGTGGTTAATTTTGCTGTTTTTAAACCCCCACACAAATCCTGCATGTGGTCAAAAGTTCAGAGTGTTGGGAGCTTCCCTGAGTTCCAAACCTTCCTGATGTCAGACTGTTCAATGCAGGGCAGGACTCGAGTTCTCCCCAGATGTCTCACAACTTATTCATATTCAACAGGACCAAAAAAACCCATAGCAAGTGGCCTGGCTTGAAAGCTTCTCACAGGAAGGTTTTCGTGCTGTGGGTATTTTAAGAGAGCTCAACATTCAGGAAAGTGTGTCTGAGATCAAATGGGAGCAATTTTGCTGCCACCTGACATGGAAATTCTGCTAATTTAGCCCTTCAGTGACTCAGCACTCCAAGTAAAAGCTGCTTTTTCTTCTCTCATGTGTGCATAAGCACCTAATAAAGCCATTTTATCAGCAAGAACAAAAGCAGATGGGAAAGATCTGTTTCTCCCAAGCCTCTCCATGTAATGAAAAAAAGAACTGCTTAAAAATCAGCAATAAATGTGGGGTTCTGAGTCCACATCTGGCCATGGGGACAGTGGAGAACAGAGACAAGAACACACTGTACACACCAAAATCAACCCAGTTCCTAAATGCAGGGGGGGAGAGGCCAAAGACGAGGAGGGATAAAACAGAGGGATGAAATATGTTGCAGGAATGGTGAAATAATACAAAGACTTTTTGTATTTAAAATATTTCATGTGCATGTCATCATTTTGCAAGCTGTTTATTTCAACAGATTTTCCTCCTTAAAACAGCCACTTACAATCTGGGATAATTCCAACAGCAACATTAAAGACCAAAGGAAATGCTGTTTAAACTCAGTTCTGTTCCTACCTGTCCATCCTGACCCACGTGAACTTGGTGTATCTGCAGGTTTCCCTGGAAAAAAAGAGCATTGACAATAAATAAAAATTGGGAATTTAAAAAGAGTTGCTTTATGCTGAAAAAAGTCTGTTTCTCATCTTATTATTAAACAGCTTCAATATTAAGCAAACCTACTAATTTAGGAAGTCCTGAGGGTTATTTTGGCAATCCAGCTCCAATCCCATAGTCAGCTCTGCATCCACAGGGGATAAACAGATCAAAAGCAGGGAAGTGTCTCAGTACCAGCATATTTTGCTTTTTGGAAGCTACTACATAATGCATTTTTATGTTAAGTTTCTCAGTATTGTTTCTGAGGTAAAATTTTTGGGTTTCCTTATTTATATAAAACTGCAAATTTAAGTCAACCCCTTACTAAACTAGAATTAGAATTTAACACTTTTATATGTGGGGGGTGTTATTTACTAATTGTTTTTTTGTTTTATCAAAATTCACTACCGAAGACTAACAATTCTATTACAGGAATTACATCTATCACAAAAAAATTCTCAATAATGGGAAGGATTTTAAAGGAAACTGTAGCTCCAAAGTCTAATAAGGAAATCTTTACAAAATGAAGTTTTGATTCGTATGCTCAGAGATGCCTTTCCAAAAGCACAATTGGATTAAGGAAAACCAGCTTCCCAAACAGTGAAATACCAGATTTCTTGGAGGAAAAAAAAAAATCCCAATTCTTTGATTTGCATGTTTTGGGCAGTGTCTCTTCCTGGCAGCTCCTGCTCTCATTTGAAGCTGTACATTGGAATAAATTAAAGCCCAGATGTTTTCAAATGCAGCCCTTGAAAGTCTTAGAGACACAAACAGCCGATGGACACAGGGGGTGGCTGAACCTCAGGATCAATCACAACAGGATCTGCTGAATCAGAATTTTTTTAGTGGTTTTTTTATCCAAAACTCCTTCAGTTTTATTGTAGCACACTTTGCATTCCTTCAGACCCAGAGTATTTTAATCCCTTTTTATTTCTCTCAAGACAAGCTCTTCAAAGGAGAAGCCTTTAACTCTAATATTTATAGAATATTTATGATAATATTTATTCTTCAAGAGCTGCCTGTGTTAACAATATTCCTTCACAAAGTGGTTTTATGAGATGTGATTTGGGTACTTTGGAAGTGGATTAAAATAACCCACATTCAGATACTCTTAACAGTGAGGAAAAACCTCTACAGGGAAATGGTACAGATTAAAACTGTTGTTTAACCTTATTTTTCTATTCCTTCTTTATTCAAACAAAGAACACAGAAATCTAACAGCAGTTTTAGCAATTAGGAGTATCTATACATTCTCAAATAACCAACAATTGCAGTCCCACACAGGTAAATCCACCTGGCTTTGAGAGCTGGTTTGCCTGAGTCAAAATTGGGGGGTTCAGGACTGAATTTATCCATTTCCATTCTACTGAACTATTTTTATGGAAAAAATTAAAGAGTGCAAACACTGCAGTGCTAAATTAGTTAGTCAGTAATGAAGGTAAGTTGGTTCTGCAAAATCTCTTTACTAGATGGTGGCTGGAATTTTCTCCAACTCCTGTTCAACAGTTCCCACGTGCAAAGGCACTGAGTATTCTGGACACATTTAGTTCATAAACCTAAACAAAATAATTTCATTTTAATGGCAGTGCAAGCAGCTGAACTGATTTCCTCTAGTATTCTGTATTAAATTTCCAAAGACCATCAGCTTTATAGAGCAATCATTAGTGTCACACACACAGAGCTGGTCAAGGAGGATAAAAACCCCCAAATCCCAAAACAAAAAAAACCCACCCCCCCCAAAAAAAACCAAACAGAGAGAAATAGCAGGTTGCATTTAACACCCTAAAGCACATTTCATTCTGGTTCCACCACATCCTCTCACTTTACTCAGATTTCAGAGGTGCAGTTTTGGAATCAGGGCCCCAGATGTGCTCCAAGACACCCAAACTTTTGCTCACCTCACTGTCCTGTGTGATCTGGACCTGCTCCCCCTGGGGCACTTGGGCTATGTGGAGATGGCCCTGTGGGATCCACAACAAAAGAAAACACCAAGGAGCATCAGAGGAAAATCAGGACTAGAGGAAGCAGCTACTACCTTGCATCAGCACAGCTCAAGGTATAGAGGCAAAGTGTTTATTCAGTGAAAACCATTAAAAATAGCTGTAAAAAATAAAGTGCAACTGTATTTCCCCCTCCTTTTATGTCAAACATAAGTAGAGTGACTTTAAGCAAAGAACAGTTCATTTTCACTGAAGGGGGAAGAAAACAGGCATAATAATAAATAACATTTATGCAGTGAATTTCTCTATGGCAAAGGATCTGTGCTTCTGACTGACACACAAAGCTTGGGGCTGACTTGGTGACTGAAACATGAATCCAGTTTAAAGACCTTGCAAACTCAGTTCTTTAAAGAGATACAGCAAGACTAAATATCCCTAAGAGTGAGGCATTCAAAGGCATCTAATTATCCATGGATTTGTGTACAGTCACACGGTTCTGGTGGATCCCAGACCATGCCAAGGACTGTCAAACTGCTGGGATTTTGGAAGAATTCATTAATTTGAACACAGTTACTGCCCTAATAGTGTTAATCATGTTAATACTTTACATTGCTGACCATGGTCCCCACTCCAGACTGGTACCAAGCCTGTCCTCTGATCCAAACAGGGATAAGAGTGGATGGAATTCCTCGTGCATCCTGACTAGCCCAGCCAAGTCTTTGCTCCTGTGATTTACCTGAGATTGGATTCTAAATAACCTCCTTGAGGGTTTCTAAGGCTTTGTGTTCATTTTAATATGCCTGCATGAGATTAAAGATAATCATTTGGAATTCTGTCAAAGGCTCTTCTGATTTTATAACACAAGAACAATTGCATGTGATTTTCAAAGACACACAGATCCCTCTATTTCAAACAGTTTCATTTCCTTTGGAAGGAAACCATCTATTTATAGGGAGAAAAAACACTCTGAAAGTCTCACTCTGACAATAGGGGCTGTATATAAAATTAGAGCACTGCCCAGTTTGTGTGCAGATTAAAATCACTTTCCCCTCCTTAACATGGAGCTCTCAGGGCTCCCAGGAAAAAGCCTGGAGCATTTGGGAGATCCATTTAGAGTGGGTTTAAGTATAAGGAATCCTTTCTGGCTGGAGGGACGGGGAGAAGATGATTTTATTCACCTTTTTATGACCAAAAAAAACCTGCTCACTCATCTTTTGCAGACACAGAATCGGCCCTCAAAGACAGTCCTTCTCTAATACTGATTTTTTAATAGATATTATAAATAACTACTACATTACTAATGACTCTTAGCCTGATCTATATGTATTATTCCACAGAACTGAAAAAACAATACCATTTTCTCCTGTTTCAACCTCTATATGTCTAAATTACGACATTTAGAAAGTGGTTGTGGGTCACAGAGGATTTTCCCTGGATTCCACAAGCAATTTAAAGGATCATTAAAGAGTCTGGAGCTTTTAATGAGGCAAATTTGCATCACTTACACCTATAAATGTAACCACTTTGTCTATTATATTCATGTATTTCATATAATTTTCCCTTCTACCTTGTCTTTCAAGACTTGAAAAATGGTTTACAGTCATCAATTATATCTCATAGAAAGATCCATCGAGGAGTCAAGAAGATTTAAAATCCATAGGGAAACCAAGAGACAAGGGAATTCCCATGGTGATACTGGAAAGTTATGGCAAAAGTGAAGTGGAAGTGGAACTTTTGCACCCAGTTCCTGCAGAAAGAGCATTATTTCACTGAGGACGCTTTTTTAAAATAATTTTAAATGAATTTTAATTGAAGTTTGAATTTCAAACAATCCTTGTATCAAACCATGGGACAGAGGGATTAAAGTGAAGGTGGGTTTTTTCA